ACATTGTCCACATCTCATTGACTCTTCTCAAAACAATATTATCCCTAAACAAAATAGAAGAAATGATTTTGTAGCCTTTTTGTTAAACTATAACCTCTTATGTAGCTGTGTATTACTCCGTTCTCACTCTGCTATAAAGAAATACCTGAGACTGGGTAATTTATAAAGAAAAGAAGTTGGCTGACAGTCCTGCAGGCTGCACTGGGAGCATAGTGGCTTCTGCTTCTGGTGAGGCCTCAGGAAACTCACAATCGTGGCATAAGGTAAAGAGGAAGCAGGGATGTCTTACATGGTGGGAGCAGGAGGAAGAGAAGTTGAGGAGGTGCCATATATTTTAAATGACCAGATCTTCTCACAAGCACTCTCTACTGTTATGAGAGCACCAAAGGGAGATGGTGTGAAACCATTAGAAACTGCCCCATGATCCAATCACCTTCCACCTGTCCCCACCTCTAGCCATTTCAACATGAGATTTGGGAGGGGACACAGATCCAAACCATAAGCTGATAAGATGGTTTTACTCTAATATTATTTGGCTTACTATATTTCATGATCTTTTGTGTTATTCTAAAATACATAAGATCTTTAGTTTCATAAGATTTTTAAAAAGCAGTTCACATAACCTTGATTGATCCATTTCTTCACCAGAAAAATGTTTTGGTAGAGTAGACATATTGACTGCAGTACCTGACAAAGGTAGTGTTTGCCGGGATTCTTTTTGGAGGGAAGTCTCTATGTGCAGCCTATGCTTAAGGAGTGGAAATTTGTGCTTCCACTGCTTGAAAGTGAACATTTAATATACACACATAAACTATTTGGAACTGTTTATGGGAGACTTGTTTCTTCTCTCCCTTTCTTATTCAATCTTTTAATTAGTATTAGTATAGACTTGTGGATATTATTTTATACTTTGGATTCTAATACATTACTACGTTGTTCTGTTGCTCCCTTGTGTCCCTTTAATATACCTTCATCCATATAGGATGGAGTTTTTGTTTTCAGGTTTTTGGCTGGCCTTCCTTCTTTCCCTCCCTCCCTTCCTTCTTCCGTCCCTCCCTCCCTTCCTTCCTTCCTCTTTGTCTTTTCTTTCTTTCTTTCTCTTTCTTTCTTTCACACTTTCGCACTTTCTTATTTTCTGGCACTATGAGATGCTCAAGGATCAACTTTTGTATTTTTGTGCCCCAATCTTTGGAATCAGGCATTTCTCCAAGGAGACTTAATTTTGTTTTGTGTTTTGGAGAATGGCCTGGATGCCAGGTGTGCTTGTTGCCTCTGAGGTGTCATCGCTTCTAGGCCCTCTCAACTGACAGAGCAAGAAAATATTGTACATATATATCCCAGCACATGTATACCAACATATCTAGAAACGTTTCCATATGTAAACATCTGTACCTGTATCACACTAAACACGAGATCATACTGATATCTTCAATTCTAATCCCTGCCACATAGATCATCCTAACCACCTCTACTTGCTTTAATGTAAATTCCAACTCCAGTAGTGAAATATTTGGCTCTCACTATCCATTTACTTAGCTGTTCAATGTCAGAATACATGTATAGCAGTATCAGAGTTGTTAAACCTTTACTCCTATGGTAAACAGCTTTATCAACTAAAGCACACTGCTTCTGTTTACTTCCTTTTGCTTTTAGTATTACAGGCTTCATTATCTCTAAAGTTATTTATTTCAACACCTTTTCCCCCAGCCCCCTTCAGGGAAGTTGTTTGATACATTTATAATATGATTAGATTGCTTTGTCACATTCTGCATTCCATCTTGGGATTCCTGGATGGAATCCTGCTAAATATTTTTTTTAATTTTAATTTTTTATTGCGTTTTAGGTTTTGGGGTACATGTGCAGAACATGTAAGATAGTTTCATAGGTACACACATGGCAGTGTGTTTTGCTGCCTTCTGCCCCTTCACCCACATTTGGCATTTCTCCCCATGCTATCCCTCCCCAGCTCCTCCACCCCGCTGTCCCTCCCCTATTCACCCCAATAGATCCCAGTGTGTAGTACTCCCTTCCCTGTGTCTATGTGTTCTCATTGTTCATCACCCGCCTATGAGTGAGAATATGTGGTGTTTCATTTTCTGTTCTTGAGTCAGTTTGCTGAGAATGATGTTCTCCAGATTCATCCATGTCCCTACAAAGGACACGAACTCATCATTTCTGATTGCTGCGTAATATTCCATGGTGTATATGTGCCACATTTTCCCAGTCCAGTCTATCATTGATGGGCATTTGGGTTGGTTCCAGGTCTTTACTATTGTAAACAGTGCTGCAATGAACATTCGTGTGCATGTGTCCTTATAGTAGAACAATTTATAATCCTCTGGATATATACCCAGTAATGGGATTGCTGGGTCAAATGGAATTTCTATTTCTAGGTCCTTGAGGAATCCCCACACTGTCTTCCACAATGGTTGAACTAATTTACACTCCCACCAACAGTGTAAAAGTGTTCCTATTTCTCCACATCCACTCCAGCATCTGTTGTCTCCAGATTTTTTAATGATCGCCATTCTAACTGGCGTGAGATGGTTTCTCAATATGGTTTTGATTTGCATCTCTCTAATGACCAGCGATGATGAGCATTTTTTCCTATGTTTGTTGGCCTCATGTATGTCTTCTTTTGTAAAGTGTCTGTTCATATCCTTTGCCCATTTTTGAATGAGCTTGTTTGTTTTTTTCCTGTAAATCTGTTTTAGTTCTTTGTAAATTCTGGATATTAGCCCTTTGTCAGATGGGTAAACTGCAAAAATTTTTTCCCATTCTGTTGGTTGCCGATTCACTCTAGTGACTGTTTCTTTTGCCGTGCAGAAGCTGTGGAGTTTCATTAGGTCCCATTTGTCTATTTTGGCTTTTGTTGCCAATGCTTTTGGTGTTTTGTTCATGAAGTCCTTGCCTACTCCTATGTCCTGAATGGTTTTGCCTAGATTTCCTTCTAGGGTTTTTATGGTGCCAGGTCTTATGTTTAAGTCTTTAATCCATCTGGAGTTAATTATTTTTTTAAGTTGAAAACTAAGGTTCAATTTTTATGTTATTGTTCTATGGGCTTTAACAATTGTATAGTTTCACACATCCAACATTTTATATTATATTAATACTCTATATTAATATTTAATATTATACAGAATAGTTTACTACCCTAAAGAAAATCATGTGTGCTTCACCTATCAATCCTTTTCTTTTCTCCTGAATTCCAAGCAACTCCTGATCTTTTACCATTGCTACACTTTTGCCTTTTCTAGAATGTTGTATAATTTGAATTATGTAGTATGTCCCTTTTCCAACTGGCTTTTTTCACATTGCAATGTGTATTTCAGATTCATCCATACCTTTCTTATACTTGTGGATTTGTTCATTAGTGTTGAAATATTATAAGTAATTTTCCGTTGATGAAATGAGTGCTGTACAAGATATGTGGTTATCTAGAAAACTTGTAGGCATTGCCCCCTCACACTCTACCTCGTGAGCCAGTATAAGGAGAGGACTGGGAAAAGGAGAGGAGAATGTAACTTTTTAGTCTTATAGAAAAATACCTCATTAGGATTTTATTCGTTGTGTTCATTATTGTATTCACAATGTTTAGAACAATGCCTATCATATAGTCGAACTCAAAATTTGTTTGTTGAATGAATGAGTATTAAAACCCCACTGACTTGAGATGTTAGAAAAATAAGTAAGTGTAATATTTGTATTGGTTCCTGTTTCTTTTCATTCCAACCAAATGTTGGACTAAAAGAGCAGAGTGTGGATTTGCAGAATATTCACCAATTGCATAGACTTGTTAAATATTCTTTATAATATTGAGCTGTCTGTGGCCATGCACAGCTTAAAATTTTTTTTCTCTGATATTGTCTTCACCCCTCATTACTAAACTGTGTCAGTATTCTCTGAAAAAAATAGATTTCTCAATCATATAAATTTGGGAAGTGCTATGTAACTAGATAATGTTTGGAAGTGCATATTAATTTATGTTTGCTTTCTTCCTGTCTTTCTCCCTTCTACTGTTTCTTTCACCAACTTAAGCGATAGTTAGCTCTGTATTCCACTGGCTTGGGTGGAGGAGGGGCATGTGGCAAGAAAGAAAATAGAGAGTCTACAGATTTTTTAAGTATTTGACCAGGAGCTGAAAGGGAGTGGAGAAAAGGAAGAGTATGGTGGGATGCAGACAAATGTTTAACCACTGGCTCTTCACGGAGGGAGGGGAGTGGGAAGCCTTGATTGTAGCAACTGTTTATTCTTATGGTATAAATACTCATGTTGTGGCCAATATCCAGCTACTAAGATAAAAGTTAAACTGCTTACAAAATTCTTAAAAGTTTAGCAATTGGCTGTCTTGAGCTGGTCTCATTCCAGGATACCACTAATCATAGGTCTCCCCCTCCTCTCATCCAGAGGAAGGAATCTCCCATTCCTTCCCCTCCAGAGCTGTTAAGAAAGAGTTTCACTTAAGTGAAACTGAAGAGAAGGAAAGACAATAGAAAGACTCAATAAATCATTTTTTGGCATATGTAGGCTTGGGGAGCTTCATGAAATATTCCTGGGTCTCAACTGGGGCTTTAAAGCGTCCTTAAAGGAGCAAGATGAGAGTAACTTACAATTCAGTATTGACTGGCGTGTACTGATGGACCAGGACCTGCTGCATTCATCATCCTTCACCCATACCCACTTCATACTCATGCCTTAACACTGCTTGAGATTCCAAAACTGGATTCCAGCCCCATGGAATAGGAAGAAATCCCAGGAAAAACTTAAGAGGAGTATGGTTTTCCCATTAGACTGGTAGAATAAAAGCTTAGTGTAAGACACTAAGTTGTATCCTAGACAATTTCTTGTAATGGAAACTGGAGTTATTTCATTACAACCACATATTTTATTATATAAATCTCACAATCATATTGTTACAGATTGAGATAATCCTGCAGTAAAGAAAACTGTTTAAGTTTTTAAAAAATATATAGCATTTTGGATAGCGAGGTTATCGGAATCCATTGAAACAAACTAACAAAACTAAACAGTCATGCCCATTTGGAAGAGTCCTAGTTAACCTTCTAAATAGCCCAGATTATGATGCAAAGAGAGATGATTCAGTTGTACCAAGTTTTATAAAAAGACAGACCTCTAGATCAGGATGCCGAGATTTGTTTGTGCCTGGATCTAAACCAAGTGGAAATGATTCCTGTGAATTGAGAAATTTAAAGTCTGTTTAAAATATTCATTTCAAAGAACCTTTGATGTCAGATGAAAAGAGTTCTGAACTTATTATTACTGATTCAATAACTCTGAAGAATAAAACTGAATCAAGTCTTCTAGCTAAATTAGAAGAAAATAAAGAGTACCAAGAACCAGAGGTTCCAGAGAGTAACCAGAAACAGTGGGAATCTAAGAGAAAGTCAGAGTGTATTAACCAGAATCCCATTGCATCTTCAAATCAGTGGCAGATTCCAGAGTTAGCCCGAAAGATTAATACAGAGAATCATATCACTTTTGAGCAACCTGTCTTTCCAGTTTGAAAACAGTCACCGCCAATGTCAGCTTATAAATGGTATGATCCAAAATCTATTTGTAAGACACCAAGCAGCAATGCCTTGGATGATTACATGAGCTGTTTTAGAACTCCAGTTACAAAGAACGACTTTCCACTTGCTTGTCAGTTGTCAACACCTTATGGCCAACCTGTCTGTTTCCAGCAGCAACAGCAGCAAATACCTGCTACTCCACTTCAAACTTTACAGGTTTTAGCATCCTCTTCAACAAATGAATGCATTTCAGTTAAAGGAAAAATTTATTCCATATTAAAGCAGATAGGATGTGGAGGTTCCAGTAACATATTTCAGGTTTTGAATGAAAAGAAACAGATATATGCTATAAAATATGTGAACTTAGAAGAAGCAGATAACCAAACTCTTGATAGTTACCAGAACGAAATAGTTTATTTGAATAAACTACAACAACACAGTGATAAAATCATCCGGCTTTATGATTATGAATTCACAGACCAGTACATCTACATGGTAATGGAGTGTGGAAATATTGATCTTAATTGTTGGCTTAAAAAGAAAAAATCCATTGACCCATGGGAACGCAACAGTTACTGGAAAAATATGTTAGAGGCAGTTCATACAATCCATCAATATGGCATTGTTCACAATGATCTTAAACCAGCTAACTTTCTGATAGTGGGTGGAATGTTAAAGCTAATTGATTTTGATCGCAAACCAAATGCAACCAGATACAAGTATTGTTAAAGATTCTCAGGTTGGCACAGTTAATTATATGCCACCAGAAGTGATCAAAGATATGTCTTCCTCCAGAGAGAATGGGAAATCTAAGTCAAAGATAAGCCCCAAAGTGATGTTTGGTCCTTAGGATGTATTTTGTACTATATGACTTACGGCAAGACACCATTTCAGCATATAATTAATCAGATTTCTAAATTGCATGCCATAATTGATCCTAATCATGAAATTGAATTTCCTGATATTCCAGAGATAGATCTTCAAGATGTGTTAAAGTGTTGTTTAATAAGGGACCCTAAACAGAAGATATCCATTCCTGAGCTCCTGGCTCATGCATGCATTCAAATTCAAACTCATCCAGGTAAACAAATAGCCAAGGAAACCACTGAATATGTTCTTGGCCAACTTGTTGGTCTGAATTCTCCTAACTCTATTTTGAAAGCTGCTAAAACTTTATATGAACAGTATAGTGGTGGAGAAAGTCATAATTCTTCATCATCCAAGACTGTTGAGAAAAGTAGGAAAAAAATGATTTGTAGTTACTGGTAAACTCTCAAATACCACCTATAAAATATATTGGATTGTTACACTCTTGACTCCCTTGTGGAAATCTACAATTGAAGATAACATCACTCTGAAGTGTTATCAGCAAAAAAATTCAGCAGTTTATTTTCAAAAGAAAACTGTAAAAATAGCAACCACTTGTGGCACTGTATATATTGTAGAATGGTTTTCTCTGTTTTGTGTGCTTGTGTAATGTGTTTGATATCATTTCACTCTTGGAATAGTGGGTGTATAACAAGTATATTCTGAAAAACTTTGTAAATAAAGTTTTGTGGCATAAAATGACACTAAAATTTCAAAGTTGTAAAATTGTTTTCTTTAAGCAAATGTATTGTTGGCATGGCAGCAAAATTCTTTAATTAGTAAAAAGTACATTAGGGAACATGTGAGGCTAGACCTTAGTAAATGAACTTTGAAAAACAAATCCTAATGGGTTTAAATTCTAAAATAGACTTCTTAATTATTTGTGGCACTGATAGCAGTCTATAATTTTAGGGCTGAACTTGGCTCTTTCAGATGTTGCTTTTGGTTTTTAGAATATCATGCTGGATTCTGTAATGTAAGCTGTATAGGGCATGCCCTCACTGTATGACTTGCTTGGTAATGGATAATTATAATTGTGGCCACAGAGTCTCTTGACTGAATCTAATAGCTTAAAGTATCTTCACATAGTATTCTTTTCTCAATTTTTAAAAAAATAATTTAATAGTTTTTATTTTTTAGAGCAGTTTTAAGTTCACAGCAAAATCGAGCAGAAAGTACAGAGTTCCCTTGTATCCTCTGCCCACCCCACCCACACAACACATATAACCTCCCTTGCTGTCAGCATCCACCATATCAAAATTCCACACCACAGTGGTACATTTATTACAGTCCGTAAACCTTAACATATTATCACCCAAAGTCCATAGTTTACATTGGGGTTCACTTTTGGTATTGTATATTCGTTGGGTTTTGACAAATATATAATTACATTTATCTACCATTATAACATCATGCAGAATAGTTTCATTGCCTTGAAAACCCTCTGTTCTTTGTTTCTTCATCTTTTCCTCTACCCTAATGCCTGGGAACCACCGATCTTTTTACTATCTCTATAGTTTTGCTTTTCTAGAATGTGAATGTCATTCAAGTGGAATCACACAGTCTGTAGTAGATTGGCTTCTTTCACTTGGTAACATGTCTTCTTATGGCTTGGTAGCTTGCTTCTTTTTAGCACTGGTTAATATTCTGTTGTCTGGATGTTCCACAGTTTATCTCCTCATCTACTGAAAGATACCATAGTTTCTTCTAAATTTGGAGAATTATGAATAAAGTTGCTAAAAATAAAAGTAAAATATATAGCATTTCAAGAATTGGTTTTCCATGAAACAAATTTTTAGAAACACTATTGTCTATTTTTCCTGTCTCTTGCTCTGTTCGTATGGTGTGTGTGTGTGTGTGTGTGTGTGTGGTGTGTATGCATGTGTATATGTATAGAAGTATAAACAATATAAAATAGGGATTGTAATGTTCATACTATTTCACAATTTTCTTCTTTACTTAATATTTTGTGACTGCATCCTTTTGCTTTTCAGTGAAATATTTTCTTACCTTTAAAATTTTCCTGAAAATAATTTGGAGGCAAACTGAGGAATTAAAGGCATGACGAATGCTTTCTCTTAGCATTCGTGAATTGTGGCACAGATTTGGAAATAGGTGCTCAGCTATCCCAACAGGGCATCAACAAAAATAACTGAGTAGGTCAGCAAGTCCTCAGGTAAGTAGGAGTTGCTCATTTCTGAAGAAGCAAAGGAGAAAGGTTTCTAGTTGGTATATTGAGATTTACTGGTAGATGTTAAAGACCTCAAAAAGATCTCTAAGCCTATTGCTTTTGTCATTTCTCCCATTCCTTCTTGTTTCTTGAGATTTCGGAAAAGGGAGAATGGCTAGCCATGATTTCATGCCTTGGCAGCATAGACACATAAAGTACTCTCTCTGTCTCTTTCTCTTCCTCTCATCCACTGACACATACCAACACATGTACCACACACACACACACACACACACACACACACACACTATTTGGTATCCTAATATTTCACGTCCTTCACATACCTCGAAAAGTCAATACTATTATTCCTGGACAAGTAATCTGCTATGGTTTGCGTATTTATCTCCCTAAGCCTCATGTTGAAATTTGATCTTGGTATTGGAAGTGGGGGCCCTAATGTTTGGGTCATGGGGGCAGATCTCTCATGAATAGATTAATGCCCCCATAAGGGGCAGTGGTGAATGAGTTCTTGTTCTATAAGTTCCGCAGAGCTAACTGTGTTGTTAATAAAAGACTGGTACTTCCCCTCTCTCTCTTTCTTCTTTTCTTGCCATGTAGTTTCTGGTCATGCTGGCTCCCCTTTGCCTTCTGCCATGAGTGGAAGCAGCCTGAGGCCCTCCAAAAGCAGATGGCAGAGCCATGATTCTTGTACAGCCTGCAGAACTGTAAGCCAAATAAGCCTCTTTATAAATTACCCAACCTCTGGTATTCCTTAATAGCAACACAAGCAGACTAAGATACAATCTCAAATTCTTATGGCTTCAAGAATATTAACATGTAGTGCCCCTTCCATCCCTAGTGAATATACTTTTCACAGATAAATCACTAGACAAAGGAATCTTGCAATTTTGTAAGAGGGAAGCAACAATATGAACTCAACACAGATGAGACTGAGCTGAAGGATCTGCCATCAACAGAAGGGTTAAAAGCAGCGAGACTCAGCCCACATCCCTCTCAGAACTCTAGCAGGATTCAGTAGGTAGATCAGAATTGAAAACTCTGCTGCAGGCAGGGGCCTAAAGGTATTTGCTCAGTGGATTAAATTCTTAAGTTGTTGTGACACTGGCACTCAATGTCAAGTTCTGGTTGTACAGAGAAAAAGTACGTATGTTGGTGGGAGCAAGCTCGTTAAACTTATATTGATTAGTTGTTCCAATCTTACTGTTGTCATAATTTAATAACAGTGTTATAGGTCTAAGCTTTATTTTATTAATAAAGCATATATTTCATTTCCTTTAAGTTAATGTGAACATTCTAACTCTCTATTCTATTTACCTGATGAGATTCAGACCAAAATGAGGGCACCATAGAGAGCTACTCCCAATTTGCCAGGGCTCTGTCTAAGTAATTTAAACATATCTCAAGTAACAAACCATCACCTCCATCTCAGGCCGCATTGAGATAATTGTACTACCTTCCTTGGGGAATTAGGGACTGGAAGAAAGTTAAACTTTTATTAAATTTAGAGAAACCACTTTAAGAATGTCTGGCTGAAAAACAAACACATTTAATCAAGGGGGTTGCATTTTAGTCCATTAGGCAGCAAAAGACATGTCTTATTTGCTTTTCTTTACGAGCTGCTGAACATAAACACTTCCTGGCATTCCATTTAAACTATGTAAATTGCAGATGTAGGTATAATTTTAAAATGTGATTTCTGAATCATAGGACTGGAAGGGATGTAACTACAACAACCATAACACAAAGCAAACAAAATAAAACTGACAAAAAACGAATCTGTTTTCTTGGATTTACATGAAGGCAAAATACATTTTGAAATTGTCCAAGGAGAAGGAATTCCAGAACTCAATAACTATTGGTCTGTAATGAGGTGAGAACGACACAGGCTGAGTCAGTGATGTGAAGATTGCATTAAAAAGCACTAATTCATGTAAATAGCCTTAGATTTGTCTCCTTCCTTGCATTACCATAAAACTACAACCCCAACTAATTTTTTTAACTGTATTTAGACAAGAATAAAGTTATTATTTTTTGCTTTCATCAAGATTCTTTGAAAGTAGTTCCTGGAATATAGTTTAAAATAAATATTTTTTTCTCTCTCTTTTAAAATTATACTTTATTATCATGAATTATATATTAAGTCATTAATTTATTCATTCATTCACTTAGTTATTCATTTAGCCACTCATTCATGAATAGATATTTATTAATGAACCATTCTGTATATGCTGGTCATGACTCTAAACCAGGGATGGGAAAATACAAATGTAAACTATAATACACAGTATCAAACACAATAATATATGTCACTATGCTATGAAGACATATATAAGGAAGCAAGTAATAATTTATCATAGGATTTAAGATATGAGAAGAAATTAAGAGATCACTGAGTCCAATCTCCTCATTTTACAGTAGGAAACTAAAGCCCAGAAACTCAGCTTGCTAATGAGCACGTGACTAATTAGTGGTAGTAATAGCATTGATGTCAATTGCTAGTTGAATGCTTAATTAATTATAAAAATAACACCAAGCGATAGTATTATCCCCATTTTACAAATGAAGAAACTAAACTCATATGAAATAACTTACCCAAATCACAGGTCAGTGGGAGACCTGTGATTTAAACCTAGCTCTGTTTTAAAGCATGTGATCTGAAATATCATATCTTTGTCAAACTAGAATAATATCTTCTCACATCTAGTTCAGTGATTTTTTTCCTCTGTAAGTCATAATGTAGAATATCTGAATCTCAACTAAATGTATTCCCTCCAAATATGAGCGTGCCAGCACAGCTGTACCAGTTAGGGCAGTTAAGGCATAAGTACAAAATGCCCAGTGCAAGTAAGTAAGAGAACCAATGTGTAGTTGCTTAAATTAGAAGGAGAGAAAGTTATTTTTCTCAGATCACATAATATGACTAAAATTTTACCCTTTATGTAAACAATACTCCAAAATTCCTTATCAAAATTATGTTAAAATTAGTGAAATTATTTACAAAGTCAAATTTCTAACAGACATTTGAGATTGGGCGTGATTTTCTTTGAAAATAAAGTACCCATAAAGAAGGCATTATGATATTCAAAACCACAATTTTTTCTTCCCAGTTTTTGGATGTACTCTTCCACTTAAGGAAGGGTGTAAAAGATAATTTTCTTGATTTTCTATTGTCAGGACCAGCTGTTCTCTGGGATGGCTGGTTTGGTGTTGGCATCTGAACACTATGAATCTTGTAACAGATTGGATCTCCCCTTTGCTTGGAAGCTGTAAATGTGAAGCCCACCTTCTTCAGCCATACAGGATGGTGTGGCATATATTTCCATGACTGATCTTATTCTGGCCTTATTTTATTTATGAAATATTTTTAAAATTATTTATGGATATATGAATTTGTCTGAGGAGTGTTAAGTTTTTTATAATATAAAATGAAGTATGAATAAATAAATATTTTATTTTTACCCTGAACTGTACTTTGCAGCTTATTTCTAAGACTTGGCAAAATCTTAGTGTG